CTTATGGTTGTTTTTACGCTGATGGGATATCAAGGTAGACAAAAAAAAAAAAAAAATAGCGCCTCGACAAAAAAAAAAAAAAAGTTGTTGCGATCAGGAACGTTTTCAAAGCGATTTTAGGAGCCTGCAGTGTTACCACAGGTGCAGGATTGAGAGCGTAACCCACGCACTTGAAGAGAAGGGGAAGCTCTCGTCTTATCGGGACTCTCTTTTATGGGTTTCCAGGTCGCGATTGTCCTTCAAAATTAACTGTCATTTATTTCTCGCTCGTGGCTTCCAAGTACTGGAAGCCGGATGGTGCACGAAATAACTCAATCCCGATTCCCCCGTGTCGATATCCCCGTAGCGAATTCCCCGCGTTATCTCCCCCGACCTCATTTCCCCCGGGTTCCAAAAACCCCGTGCCCCCATCCCCTTATCAGTTCCCCCCGTCCTCCGCCCCCAATTCTCGTTACGGGACGAAAGAAAAAGTGCATACCGAGGGTCAACAAGAACAAAGAAACCTCTAACGCGACCAGGTGAGTTCTATTTAAGGAACTTTCAACATTGGATGCTTCCCAAACGAGGTTGAGATGCAGGAGATGGATGTCGAATTTTTAAAATCGGAAAAAGGGAAGGAGGCCTTAATACTAGACGGATTTAAGTATTGCTTTCAGTGGAAGAACCAAGATGAGAAAACTGCCTGGAGATGTGCTAAATAATGGGCAAATAACTGCAAAGCAGCAGTTCTCACGAAGCACGGAAAAGTCGTCAAGACAACACAAGGTGAAGTAATGACTTTCTTTTTTTACTTTCGCTAACTCTCGGATTGCTGTTCAGCTTGAAGGGCACAGAATGAATGAGGCTAAAATCTGCTGCGGCGTTTCATTATCATCACGTCGATGTGTTTCAGAGCACAACCATCCACCTGATAGCAGCCAACTTCGGGAAGCGCGACTGAAGAATGCATTGAAGCAAAGGGTTAGGTCGGAGCCTCATTGGCCAGCACCGCAAGTGTACAGCAGAGAGTTCTTGAGCATTGTGGGTCAAGTAAGCAAAAACATTGTCTCGTCTTTACATACTATGTTTTATTACACGTGTATACGTGTTCATGGTGTTCGCGATTGAACCTTGTTTGTGACGGGACCAATTTGTTCTAGGTTGACGACACGCTGATGGCTGAGCTGCCGACTTTTGAGAGCGTGAGGAGCACCTGTACAGGGAGAAAAAAAAGCAGCCACCGAGCTTACCAAGGGACATGGCCGAGATTAACCTTGGAAGACTACATACGGAGACACTCGACAAGCGAGACTTCCTGCTGTTTGACGTCAGCATAAGTGCAGGCCGTGTTTTTTGCTTTTGCACGCTGGAGCTGCTTTTTCATTTTTCGGAAATGGTGGAAGTGTTCATCGATGGCACGTCTTTCTCCTGCCCGTCATTGTTTTATCAACTGGCCACAGTAAGCGCCGTCAAAGAGGGTTTGAGCTTCAACATCGCCTACTTTCTTCTACCTGGGAAATCTCGAGAAGCATATGTATCGGCCTTCACGAACTTCAAGACAGCGTTGGACGCTCTTCGTGCACCTCTGTCACTCAGCGTTGTCCGTACGGACTTTGAACTGGCCCTTATCCAGGCTTTTCTTTTCGTTTTTCCTGAAATCCGGCACCAGGGTTGCCATTTTCACTTCGCTCAAGCAACCTGGAGGAAGGTTCAAGAACTCGGACTTGGCAAGGCTTACCAGGAAGATTCTTCGGTAATGATGTTTGTACGCTAGACAATCAGTTTGGCCTTTGTACCGCCAGTGTTCGTACGTATTGCTGGCGGGGTTTGAAGGCAACTGCACCACCAGCCCTTGGAGTCCCACAACTTATCCTGTACTTCGAGGATACTTGGCTCTTAGGAAACTACGACACCCAGCAGTGGAACCACCACCAAAACAGCGGAGCCCGGACAAACAACCTAAAGGAGGCCTGGCACCGGTCAGTTCATTTTTCAGTATGGTATAAATTTGCTATCAAAAAATCAGAATGCTTATTTACCAGGAGTTGTAATCCTTGTGCTTTTTATTTACAGAAAAATTAACAACGCCATCGGGAAAGCGCCCCCCAATGTCTACACTTTCGTGGAGCACAACAAGCGGGACGAGGTATCCAACCCTCCTCCAGGTATCCAACGGCGGCCAAGCCCGAAAGCGACAAAAGAAGTGGGAGATGAAGGACGAAGCCTTCATCTACCAAGTGGGAGATGAAGGACAGAGGAAGCTCGAGCAGCCTCTGTCCAATGGAGAGCTCAACATTCAAGAATTCCTGAGGCTGGTGCAGCGATATTGCGGTATCTAAGTAGTGGACATCGCATCGCTTCAACAAAACTGTATACATTAACATGTTAATAAATTTCCCATAATTTGCAATATTGTCAAGCACTGAACTGACACAGGATCACGGAATAACAGTGTGCGTTGGTTTCAAAGAACATCAAAGGTGATCAACGGGCGTCCGTATCGTTTCGTCGACACTAGTTTCATCGACACCATGTTTCGTGAAAAAACTAGCTTCGTCGCACGTGCATCACAGGGACCCATAATAATCCAGGCGGACCACCCGTCCACGACGCCTCGCGGCGACAGACACAGGCAACTTATTACAAAAGGAAGCTAATCTGAGCTGTCGGTGTAACAAACTTTTGATGAAACGATACGTTGATGAAACGTCGTTCGATCATTTGATTTCCACTGGATAGAGACGCACACAAAAGTTACAAAATGGGGGAATTGGATACGGGGGTGCTGGCGCTCGGGGGAGGCAAGACGGGGAATTTGACAACGGGGATTTTGACACTCGGGGGAAATGGCACGGGGCATTTGGGACGGGGGAACTGCCACCGGGGGAATCGTGCTACAACCCTGGAAGCCACGACTCGAGCCACAATAGTTTTGCGAAATCAAGGTTTCGCTGAAATGGATAACTCTCACGTACAGTTCGACGCGCAATACCTTTGCCGTATTGACTCGCGAGAGATGCCCCCAACACGGCTGAGTATGGCGGTGCTCCAGACCTAACATCTAAATTTTGTTGCCTTACCTGTTACTATTTCGCGCCCATATTGAGCCATTTCAAAATGAAAGCGCATGATGAAATAAAAATGACACTCGTTTTCCGCTCGATGGAAATTTCACGCCAGCTCGCTGTCTTTGCTGGTACCTTGAGCGTTTCCCAGCGATGCGAAAAGTCAAAAAGAAAAAAAACAAACAAAAAAAACACGTACGATGGCATCCTTTGCACACTCATTACTTCTATAACACTGAGCCACCTCGTATCCTTTTGTTTTTCTTTCATGGTACTATTTTCTTTCTGCGCATTACGGCTGTTACGACGCTAAGTCTGTCTGCCCTTCGAATTTGAACTTAGGCTCAGATCAGGGACGAACCAGTTTAAATCAGGAAAATATAATTAACACTGTAGCAAAGTAAATCTATCATATCGATCGGAAATACGATTTGGCACATTCCATCTGAACACATATTGTGCACAGCGAATGCAATAGCGAGTCAGCGTGCAAAACGCCGCCACACTGAGCTACTACAACATCTCAGCGATTTTTGCATAGCATCGAGCACGGAAAAGAGAGAACAGTTATTCATTCACATAAACGAAGCAAATTTATTTAAAGCCCGGACACTCCGTACGTCCAATCTAGCTAAGGTTATCAATAGACTCGACCATGTCATTTGTCGAAACAGATAAAAGACGTTGGCAAAAATGATTAGACTGAATAGGTGAATCTAACGCACGTATTTTACCAACCGACGGTCGCGCGCCTTCAATACCCTTTCCAATTGTCATTGCGCACCTTGGACACACTTTGGGGAGCAATGCATATTTACATCGCCGCCCGAGGTCTCCATTGAACGTGTAGTGCTGACCCAAATAAAATGCTAACCTGACTCTCAATCGCTCACCGCAAAGGACGATTTCGAACAGGCGGTACTGTAGATCACTTGAGATAGAAAAAAAAAAGAAAAACAAGCTATACATGCCTTGCAAGTACGTCATAGGTTGACGTCACACACAGGCCACGGCCATCCTGGTGGTTGAGTTGGTCGAGTTGACCGCCATTTAGCCATGGTGAACTGCGCCGCGTTCGGCTGCAATAACCGCTCGCGTAACAAAAAGAATGACACCGGTAACTTCAAGGGCGGTTTCTACCGTATACCGGCGATTGTGACATCGGAGGGCCCCGAGGCAGAGCGTCTGTCGAGGGAACGAAGGCGCGAGTGGCGGAGGAGGCTGAAGCGAGACGACTTCGATGATGCGGCCACACACTATCGAGTTTGCGGAATACATTTCGTTAGCGGTGAGTGATGGACCTTTTCTAACGTGTTTATGTTCGTGCAAGCTTTGCATCGACACCGCCGGTTACGGAAGAGCGAATATAAACTACATATGAGCGATTCCCCCAAGCGACGCAGCGATGCGACGCAGCGATGCGACGCGACAGGACCCGCTGCCGCTCACTCCGTCGAAACCACATGCAAGTCGCGATGAGCAGCAGTGACGGGCGATGGGTTCCGGAAGTCTAGAAACGAGCGACGAGACAGCGACGGCAAATCTCGTCGCTCGTCGCCGCCTTGTGCCGTCACATTGAGTTCGGATTGAGAACGCGACCACAGGGCCCGCATTCCAGTGATGCAAAACTAGGGCGGACGATGCTCATCCAGACCGAAACGGGCAGGGGTGAGGATCGACCGCACGCCGGGACGATACGCATCTAAACAAGCGTCGTGCGGGCGTGCGGTCGTGTATCAGTACTTCGTAGTGCACCTCAAACACCCCAGGCTAGCAGTCCTGCACTGGATAAATGGCTTATGTACTGCGCATAAGCAGTGTCTCAGAAATCTCTGGCAGGCTAACCTCACACTGTCTAAAGATCTAACGACAAATTTTAACATTTTGGCTTCAATCATCTAAAAATTATTTGTTTGGAAATTTTAGGCAAACCATCAGCATTGTTCGATATCGGCCATCCTGACTGGGCCCCCAGTCTGAATTTGGGGTACAAGAGAAAGGTCATTGACAAAAATGACAGGTACGTAACATACTGTGAGGGAAAAGGATGGGCCCCAGTTAAACGGATATTAGCATGAAGTACAATGCTTCTGTTTACTCTGCAAACAGGTACAACCGTCGCAAGGCGAGAAGCGCTGCAAACAAGAGGGCTCTGCAAGGTATGTCACCACCTCACTTTCCTAAGATAGTGTTCAAATTCGCCCTCTTTTATAATTCCTGTTAACTGGTTCCGATTTACTTTTTGATGACCTGCCAGCAGCTAGCAGCTCTGGAATTCTAACTTGTGCTGCATACGCCTGCCCTTCAGCTGCTCAAGACTGCCCCCCTTCCGCTGAGGATGGCTCTCCTGCTGAGGATGGCTCTCCTGCTGAGGATGGCTCTCCTGCTGAGGACGGCCCTCCCGCTGAGGATGACCCTCCAGCTGAGGACATCGAAACTCAACTGGGTGGGAACGCTGCTCTACCGGACGACCAAAGTCAAGTTGAGCAGATAACGGTTACTAGAGGTACGCTTCTGGTTAGAAATCAAGCTTGTGGCCACTCTGGTTGTATGAAACGTCCGACCAGGTTGCTCGCATGTTAATTATTTGTGACCACCACATTTGAAAGGGGCCAAGGGCATTCAGTCATGCGAGGGGTGCTCCACCTTTCATGAAAGGTCAGCGAAAAAGTAAGCGAGGAGCTTTTTCGGTTGCAGCATGCAATGAATGGTTACCATGACTGAGTGTTAAACCAGTGTGTTGTGTCGTTCTCTGAGCCGGGTAGCTGCAAGGAAAATCTGACGCTGGTGTCGAATGTGGAGTGGTGTTGGATTGATTTTATTGCTGCCTGCCTCGGAGAATGACACGACACACCCGTGCAGCGCATAGTCATTAATTGGCGTTATTGTCGCGTGCCATGACCCAGAAAGCCATTGCACATACCTTTTAATGCTGGCTTTTCAAAAAGGCGGAGTGCCCCTCTCATGTCTCAGTGCCCTTGGCCACCTCATGGAGATGGCCATAAATGATAGCCTGCCGGCAACCTGGTGGCATGTTTCAAACTACCAGAGCACCCACAAACTTGTGCTAACAAACCTTTGTGTAACAGTCTCGGTAACAAATCATTATTCTTCAGGAACACAGGCAGATGACGGCTCGCGGGAAATTGCCGATCGCCTAAACCAGGAGGTCAACCGACTTCGGGTGGAGGTCTATTCCTTGCGGGAAAGCCTGAACGCACGGTGCCTAACTTATGCTGCCTTCCTGAGGGACGACGAACTAACCAAGTTCTACACGGGACTGCCAAACTTCAAACTTTTGAATGGTGTTTTTACACTCGTGAAGGAACTGGTGAGGCACAGCCCCATTAATGCCTTGCCTCAGTTCCAGGAGTTTGTGGTCACACTGATCCGGCTCCGGCTGAATGTACCTCTCCGGGACTTGGCATTCAGGTATTGTATTTTGTTTATCTGTCAGAAAACATGCACAGTTTACATTGTGTGTTACAACCTGTATTGGCCTGTCTCAATCTCCAAAGGCTATTAATGTTTCTTTTTTCGTCTGTATTGACCACTCGGTCTTCATTTTCTATACTTCCTCCTCCGTTCTGTCATCACAGGTTTGACGTCTCCGAAGCCACCGTCTCAAGGATTGTGATGAAGTGGATCGACGGCCTGTACTTCCGCCTGGAAATACTGGTCAGGTGGCCGACAAGAGAGCAGCTCGTGCACACCATGCCGATGTGCTTCCGTGTTGCCTTCAGTACTGACGTCGCAGTCATTCTTGACTGCTTTGAGATTTTCATCGAGCGTCCAACCTCGCATCTTGCCCGGTGCCTCACATGGAGCCAATATAAACACCACAATACGGTGAAATACCTAATTGGAATTGCTCCTCAAGGAACAGTAACTTACATTTCTAGGGGGTGGTGCGGCCGCTCGAGCGACAAGCTCATCACTGAAAGCTGCGGGATTCTGGGTAACCTGCAGCCTGGCGTCTTGGTCCTTGCTGACAGAGGCTTCACCATCGCGGAGTCAGTTGGCCTCTGCTCTGCACGACTCAAGATGCCGGCATTCACCAGGGGACAAGCCCAGCTAGCGCCTTGGAATGTGGAGGCCACGAGGAAGCTGGCCAATGTGCGCATTCATGTAGAAAGAGTGATAGGACTCCTCAGGAACAAGTATATGATAACCAAGAGTATCGTGCCTGTAGACATGCTCTCTGCAGTTCACAAGGTCGATGCAACCACACTGGACAAGATAGTTTTTGTTTGTTGTGCTTTGACGAGTGCTTGCAGCTCTGTTGTACAATTTGATTAACTCTGCTTGTGTGCGACTTGGAACACTGCCTTCACTAAACTGTCTGCAAGGCTGTCTTTTTTTTTTCTTTTGTCAGGAACTGCGTTGTCCCGTTTTCTATGCTATGTTTTCCTAAGTTAAGAGTGAACAAGGTATGTGCATTTTTTGTTTTTGCTCGTTTTCGAAGCTTACAACGAGTGCCGTATGTAGCACACGAGTTATTGACAGCGTATTGTTTATTGTGATTGTTCTCAACAAGCTTAAGTAATTGCTCCTTGATGTGCATCATGGGGCACTTTTGGGATTGCTAGGAGTGTCATGATGCAATATTTTAATTTTTGTGGGTGAGTAATTATTGCATAGTCTCTAAATTCTTTCCATTTCCCCATTCTGCAATAAAAAGGTGCGTTTATTAGGTATAATTTTCTCCTAAAGATGCTTTATAGAGATGGAAGTTCATTTACAGCAGAAGTTTCTATCAATGCCACATCGAGAATGAACACAATATATGGACAGAAAACAAATGCCCCTGAATTAGTAGAAAAAATTTCTTTGAGAAGGGAAACCTAATTATAAGGTCTAAATAAACAACATTTTGCTTCTTTCGTTTGAACACAATTTTCTTTATTTGCAATCTTTGTACAGCCATTGGCCTCGTGGTGCTTCTTTTTATTTACACTCTTTGCACAGCCATTGGCCTTGTGGTGCTTTCTTCATGCCGATGCATGCAAAGTGGTACCATTTTCGTATGCATTGCGGATTATCACACATTACCATCTTGCCATACTCTGGCCCATCACAGAGACAGTAGACGTCCTCGTCTCCCACATTCTCGTATGTCTGTTTCTGTACAGGTTGTGACGTATACCTGTATCGCAGCTCTGGCAACAGTACGCGCTTGAAGAAGTGCGTGCTCTTCAGCAACATTGTGGCACAAAAGTCATTGTCTAGAAAGATTCTTTCAATAAAGATCTTCGTCGTCCAGACAACGTAGTCTGAATACTTCACCTGGCACACAAACATCTGCATTTGTACTTGCCAAAAATGTGCATGTTTTCGTTTTAGTTGAAGGACATCTCCATCGGGCAAAGTGATACTACTGCTGTTCCAAGAAGTGAGCTCTAAGACAGTACACTCTCGCAGGCTATACGGGCACTTCACCTCGAGTACGCCTGCACCACAGCAATCGCAACTCACGACTCCATCAGGTGTAGCTGCGAGGAACTGGTGATCGAAGCTGATGTGCACGCCTGAATCGCAACACTTGAAATTTGAATGTTGACTAGTCATTGCTTCAACATACTGTGCCCTTGCACGGGGTTCATTGTCAATGCCCCAAGTTGTCGCTACTGGCCGCTTTCGCGCATGATGCAGTCACCCTACCGGCACGAAATAAAAACCATTTCCTACATGATGCCTGGGCTCTGGTTTCTTTCTCAATAAGGTGAAGAACCTGCACAAAAAGAGAAAAATTAGGGAAACGTTGCCAACATCACATTTCCACGGATCATACCTCTCGTTCAACTCTGATGTTGCTTGCCAACTTGTCGCATTCCTCGGAGACTTCTTCCCATGATGGTGCTACGCAGTCCTTGAACAAAGTGCACAGAAGTGCGGACTTGTACTTTGCAGCTGTCGGTACGTAGGACTCTGCATAGCCATCAACAAGCGAAAGGAAGGCTGGCCTTAAATTTGATGCTTGAGCGTCGTCCAAAAACTTGTTCCACTGTTCGTCGGTCGGTCTCAATGGAGTCGGTCTTTGTCGGAGCAGTGCTAAAGTTGTTGATGGCTTTCCCTCATCCATTCGCCTTTTCTTAGCTACTGCAGATGAGAAGTCAACTTTCGCTATTGGAACGCATGTCAGTTTGTTGCAGTATGCTGGAAGCCACTCATTCTCTTTGTCAGTGCAAGTTAGTGAGTCTCTGTGCTTCACCGCCACTTGAAGGTAGAATAAGATTGCACCAATGTGAGAGCAGCTAGGCCTCTCCGAGACCAGCCATACAGGTGCAATGGGCAGCAACAACTTCACCGTCCTGCTTCACTAGTATCCATGGCTGCAGGCAAGTTTCCCTTGTACTTTGGGAGTGGTTCACCTACAAAATATTAAAGAGAAAGATTTTACTACATTTAGCGACCTTTTAACATAGATACTGTAGGCAGATGTTTTAATGTGCAAAGAGTGACTCCCGATGTACCGGTCGAACCTACTCGCGCATCTGAACGTCTGCTTACGTGCACAGAACTAGCCACCTTTGTGGTCCCGCCGCCGCCGTCGCCGCCCCCGCCCCCGTTTTACGGAATGCCCAGTTACCCTACAGTGAACGCCGGACAGATCTTTAACGAACAACCCGGAACATGCAATTTCGTTATGGTTAGATTGGAAGTCTCTTACCTTGCCAATCACGACAACATCGTTGTTTGGAAGCACTTTCAGTCGCGGCTCTTGAACCCACCCACTCGTCAAATAATTGTGCGATTCCAGTGACTTGTGTGCCTTGAACTGCTCCCGCGTAATAAAGCTTGTCTTGCCGACAAGATAGTCCTTCACGTCGCACTCTTCTACTTTGGAATAAGCGCTTGTATCGGTCACGGTCTCGTCAACTGACAGCGAGAGTGGATCTTTGCCGCCGCACATCAACACTTTCTCCTCGTAGCGCGATCGCACCGACGCCGGCAACTTCTGCGCATACTCGCTCAACAACATAGTAGATTTGCGTGAACACGTTGTTTGAACTTGGAATTACGTACCTTTGTTGAAAAGGTGACGCATTTCTGCACTCGCGCGGGCCGCGAACGGTGCGCAAAGCCGTGCCGTGGGCATACGCGCGGTGCCAGTCAACCACCAACATGGCAAGGGGCGCCGCCCCTTTTCTAACCTGACGTCACTTGCAAGGCATGTATAGAAACGACCGTCGTAAAAAAGGGGACCGGCATTTTTATTCCTACCTCCGAACAGAAACGAGCGTCACCCACTGCATCACACAGCGCACAGGCCGGACTCGGCCACCGCGCGTACATACCAAGCGCGCGAGGGAGGGAGAAACTTCCTCCGCCGGGAGAACACGGCACATTTCGGGATCTATTTCACGCAGCGGATAACGCGGGCCTTTTCACACCTCGATACTGGCGCCATCTAGAAGTTGCGCGTTCAACCACGTTTCGAGCCGCGCGCCATCTGGTGGCTGAAACGGACGAATAAATAGAGGTACCGCGTTCTCTTAAGTATGCTTCAAGAATCTTTCGGAACGGGGACACTTTACGTCGACGAGGCCATTTGTTCCAAGTAGTCAATCAGGGAATGCTGCTAGAAATCCGTCCCTGATATTAACCAATAAGCCACACTTCTGCACAGTGCAGTTTTCCTGTTCCACGTACAGTTGTAAAGCTGCATCCTCATTGATTCTACCATATACTGTTGCGGGTGAAGAAAGTCTTTGGGTACACGATACTTGAGAGAAGTCTGGCACTGTACGTTGTGGTTCGACACCCACTAATGTCGTCGTCCTTATAGAGCCTCATCATTTAATCATTACCTCGGCACCTCATATTGCTCTTCATCAACAGTAAGAACAATAGGCTACCGCCATATTGCAATCCAAGAATTGAAAAATTTAGTCGTTCAGTCCTTCAACAAGTTTATTATTTATATAATGTTATTACGTTACATTACCTCGAGACGATCGACGTCCATCGTCGATCTTCAAATACTTATACCTGTATATAAATTAGACGCACGAGGGAGGGGGGAGGGGGGGGGGGGTCGGGTCGGTGGCCGAGTGCATGATCTAGCGCGCACCAGCTCGGAGCACTTGGAGTGAAAGCTCGCGCTGCAGAACCCACCCCGCCCCTGCCCGTTTCGATCTGGAAGAGCATCGTACCGGCGTGCGGTCGTGTATCGCTACTGCGTGGTGCACGTTAAAGACTCCAGGTTTGCGGTTGTACCGCACTGGCTAGATTGCTCATCTACAGCTGGGACACCAGACCCCCACTAAGGCAGACTAACCTCCGGCTGTATAAACATACAAACAACAATTTGCAATTAGACGCATCATAACAAAGAACACAGCGTGCCGCCTCTTTTCTTTGGATGCCTTTTTTTTTTAAACCAGCGCAAGCTCATGCGTTCTCTCTTTTGAGACGGTTAGAACGGTCGCACATAAAACCCGCGTTTCTCCTACCCACCCGCTTCCTCCTCTCATTATGTGTATTTGGTTATAACTAAATAAGCTATAATAATGGTGTGTTATTCATATTTACTTTCAGTTTCAGTCAGGAAAAAGGAGTTTCGCGGGAATTAGAGCCAATAAATGAGCTGCGCTTAGAGTATCGGCACTCTCTTCCCCGACAGTGTTGTGAACGCCGCCATTTTGGTGC